TTTATTTTTTTAATCACCGATGCCAGTGAGAATGTGGAGGAGGTAAGTGGGCGTCTTTGTAAATTTAAGTGGTCATTAATTAGGACCCAATTTCTATAGAAAGGGGCCCTTGCCTTTAAACAATGGGCAGTTCTTCGGCATCGGTGATGACACACCGAATGGCAAAACGGATCCTGGGTTTTGCTTGCGTTGGAACTAATGCTACTGATGAGACGCGCTCCCAGAACGCAGAATGAGTTGTGTGAAATAAGTAATATAAAAAAAACCTTTTTTTCAAAATACGCTTTCATGAAATGTACCGTACGAGTAATGGAAGAGCTCCACGACTCCAGGAAGTGGCCCCGAAGCTTGCCACAACGTAAGGGGACCATGGCCAATTACAGCCAACGTCAGTTGACAGTGGATAATTAGACGCAAGCAGAAACATAACAAAAAAGAATGTTTAAAAAATATAATTAAAATGTTTTTTAATGATAGAATATAGTATTGTCATCAGTATAACATGAGTATACCAAGTTTGCAGTCGATACCACACTGGGAAGTGGGTTAAAATTGAGTTACAAGATTTGAGGATACAACAACAAAGTGATTTAAAGCTTTCGTGACTGCAGTAATTCATATTCATAGCTCTTTCGGTAAAGTCACGTTGAAGGGAAACAATAAAATAATAAAATATACATAAAACAATAAAAATTCTCACGAAACGTCGTGAGAATTTTTATTGTTTTATATATATTTGATTATATATTTTATTATTTTATTGTCGTGAGAATTTTTTATTGTTTTATATATTTTATTATTTTATTGCTTCCCTTCAACGTGACTTTACCGAAAGAGCTAAGAATATAATAACAACAACGGAGTGAGTTACTAAAAAAGCGCGTAATCAAATACGTGCATGCAGTGCTTCATGTGAAGGGAAAAATATGGGAAGGGGACATTGACGTAAAGAATTCAGGAGGTTGTGAAGGGGTCTAGAGACGACCCTTGCCTCAGCATCTGGGTTGCGATGGGACTGATCAAACCCACTTAGGAAGTGCAGTGACCCGCACAGCCATTCTCAAAATCCACTGCTGGATGAAGGTCGCCCTACGCTGCGAAAGCTCGTGTGGGAGTGATTTGTCCATACTTCACCACGCGGTTCAATGCGCGCGGGGGTGGGGGGGGGCATGTGTAAAGATCATCGACGTACCGTACAACAATTGATGTTGCTGCAAGTGCTCTCTGCTGCTCATTACCATGTAGCCCGGTCTCGCGCCATCTATGGCACGGTGGTGGTGGTAGCCTCTCCAAGCAGTTATCAATAATTGTCATATGATTGGTTCTTTCGGTAAAGTCACGTAAAAGGGAAACAATAAAATAATAAAAATATAAAACAATAAAATTCTCACGACGTTTCGACTGCAACACAAGCAATCATCATCAGGTGTGAAAAGCACAGCAAGAAAATTTGAAAAAAATTGGAAAAACCGCCACTTTTTTTAAAAAAAATTCTTGCTGTGGTTTTCACACCTGATGATGATGATTGCTTGTGTTGCAGTCGAAACGTCGTGAGAATTTTACTGTTTTATATTTTTATTATTTTATTGTTTCCCTTCTACGTGACTTTACCGAAAGAACCAAGAATATGAATCCCTGCAGTCACGAAAGCTTTAAATACATAATTATCATCTTTATTTACACTGGAGGAATCCGATGAGCTATAGAAACATGCGTTTAGAGTATTTGGCTGTTGTACATTTCCACATGATTGCATGCCTCTCCCCATGGTCGCGTGGATTTTTTAAATCTGGTTCCTCCGGTTATTCCCTCAACATTAAGAAACATGCGTTTAGATTGATTTGAAGCTTTCGTGACTGCAGGAATCCATACTCTTTGGTTCTTTCGGTAAAGTCACGTAGGTATAAAAATAAAACAAAATAAAAATGTTTCACGACGTTTCGATCGCAACACAAGCGGTCATCCTCAGGCGGAAAAAAATAATCCAGCAGTGGAACTGAACCAGCGAGAGAGCTGTTGCGATCGAAACATCGTGATATATTATTTTTTATCTTGTTTTATTTTTCTACCTACGTGACTTTACCGAAAGAACCAAAGAGTATGCGTTAAGATTATTTAGATTACATGGCTGCTATAAATTTACATATGACAAGCCGCTTCGTTCAGCTATCACTTGTGGTCAAGTCGCGTCTGAAAAAGAACTACGTAGCTCAGTGAGCCTTACATGGTAAAATAAAAGTTCATAGTTTAGTTTCTAAAGCGCTTTTTCACAGATGTCTAGTCGGGGCGGGTCAGAATGTAACAACAACAAATAATACAAAACAACTTTTGAAGTGCAAAGTATAGGAAAGGTTAGTAAATAACTAAGTACAGATAAATAAACTACGACTAAACTTTTGTTTATTTGACCAGGAAAAGGCCCACTGAGCTGCGAGTTCTTTTTCAGAAGCCACCTGGCCACAAATCCAGGCTCCAAAATCTGCCACCTGCCCAAACATTTATTCCTGGAATTGGCATCGATCTGCCTCCCGGAGACTCATTGAAGAGCAAATCCGGTAAATCTTTAACAGGATATTTAAGAAAATAAATTAGCTATGAAATCAATCAAACTAAAATCTCCCGGAATACCTTCAGTCAAGAGTGGGCAACCTTATTTGCGGGCGGCTGATTTTGGTCATCAGCAGATGCGTTAAGAATGAAATGGGGTAGAGATTGCAGGGGCAGACAGAGACGAGTTGCCAGCAACTGGCTCTGTAGCTAGAATCAAAGTGGACTGCGACAAAATCATCGATCCGGTTGATATTAGCGGATACAATTTTGTCTTATTACAGCCCCCCCCACCCCCAAGGCCAAATCTGGGCTGAGGTTTTTTGGTAAATTGGGAAACACGTACCTGAATATGTACCTGTCAACCCATACGGTTAACCCCCGTATTCTTGTACAGGGGAATTGAGTTTGCAGGTCATTACTGCGTACAGCCTTTTCAATATGGGCAAAACATTGTTTCTCCCTTGTGATGGGACTTTGTAGGATGAACCTTGACATTTATAAGGGGCATTTGGTGACCAATAAGGTATGAATTGGTCTATAACAGGGGTGGGCAATTTTTTTGACTCGCGGGCCACAATGGGTTCTAAAATTTTACAGAGGGGCCGGGCCACTCTGTCAAATTCAAAGTGCGCCATCTAACGGGGAAATGGGGGCATTGCAGGAGAAAGGTAAAATTTAATAATATTTGGACAAGTTCGGCGGGCCGGATTAAAAATCCCAACGGGCCGTACCTTGCCCATGTCTGGTCTGTAAGGTATGGCACTGATACGGGGTTGACAGGTATGGAAACATTTTTGCCCTATTTTCCGTTTAATGTTTTTGTAAGCGTATTTTTGTTTTTAAACAGACGGCTAATTATTGGGGTTGTCCGTGCGTCTGTCCCACTAATACATTCTCAGAAATGTTGAGAAATTAATTACAATCCATACTAATTCTGTACGCGCACGGAAGGAATTGAAACAATGACATCTTCGATTTAAAGCTTACGTGACTGCAGGGATTCAAATTCTTAGTTCTTTCGGTAAAGTCACGTAGAAGGGAAATAATAAAATAAAATTATCTCGACGTTTCGGCCACAACGCAAGTAGCCGTCCTCAGGTGAAGAACGGAGGCTATTCTTCGAAACGTCGTGAGAATTTTATTGTATCATGTTGTATTTTTATTACTTCCCTTCTACGTGACTTTACCGAAAGAACCAAGAATATAACGACATCTTCGTTATTTAATGTTTCCTCCACCACCACCCCCGAAATTGGCGCCTCCACTTCAACTTGGACGTCCCAGGCGACCGAGGGCCTCGTTCAACCCTGGTAGAGAATTTCAGAGGGAATCGCATCATTCACAATCTTGAGGCCAACTACAATTTTACGAGGGACTTATCAGATCCCAGAAACCACATCAAATACAACGATACTGCCTCTTATATAAACTCCCACGAGACACTTAGCATTTTATTCCGTGTAAACACATACCTGCCAACCCCTTATCAGTGCTGCCTACCTATTACAGACCGATGCAGACCTTACTAAAGTCACCCCATGCCCCTTATAAAAATATCAACGTCCATCCCACAAAGTCCCATCACAAGAGAGGAACACAATGTTTTGCCCGTATTGAACCGGCTGTCCGCCGTAAGGACCTGCAAACTCAATTCCCCTGTACAAGGAAACGGGGTCTAAACTCTTTGGTTCTTTCGGTAAAGTCACGTAGGTCTAAAAATAAAATAAGTTAAATCACGTTTCGGGCGTCCGTCATCAGGTGGGGGCAACCACAGCAAGCAACCTGATGACGGACGCTTGCGTTGCGCCCGAAACGTCGTGATTTAATTTATTTTATTTTCTACCTACCGTGACTTTACCGAAATAACCAGAGTATGGATCCCTGCAGTCACGAAAACTTGAAATTTAGAAGGAGACGGGGGTTAAACCGTACGGGTCAACACGGCAAGCAGTGATATAAACTAAGAAGCCGTCACAACCCACAACTTTCATGAGAACCATACGCACAAAGTACGTGTGTGGTGAAACACCCGTTTATGAAACCAGCTGCAGTGGGAATGCAAGTGCCATGCCATAACACACAACACGTGGCGGAGGAAGTCTTCATCCAGCAGTGGATAGGCCATGGACAGAGATGCTTTTCCGCAACGCTGAACGGATCATTATTACTTACAGCTAACTTGACGATTTAAAAATAAATATAGCGATTTAATGGCGACGGCTTGGTGGGAGGGGGGGGGGTCTTCAACCAGCAGTGGATCGACCAAAGCGGGTGACTGTGTGACGATATTAAGCCCTCGGGGTGAAAAAAAAACGCGTTCTCTGGGCACCCCGCCTCGCGGCGACCCGTAGCTTCCACGCACTGGAGGTGGGTGGGGGAGGATCACGAGCCCCACGAATCCCGTAGTCCACATAAGAGGGCGCGCGCGCGGAGGCAACCAATCAGAAGGTGTCATGGAGAGGGGGGTGGGGGTAGTGAGCGCGGCCTTATGCGTTGTAAGGAATGTGGTTGTGGCTGGGAGCGTTGCCGGGTTAACAGCGGGCCCCTGCTGTCGTGTCCGTCTCTCGCCCGTGGCCCCGTTACTCCCCCGTCAGACTACGGCGACGACGACGGCGGCGACGACGATTTGAAGGGAACCATTAACATTGTTGCGTGTGCCGATCGCCGCCTCGCGCGCACGGCCGCTCGTCGTACGAGCGATGGACGCGGAGGACCTGAGCGAGGTGCTCACGGAGGACGGCAGGAACGCGAAGGCGGTGCTGTGCCCGCGATGCGACTCGCAAGTTCTCAGGCCGCGCGCCGCCACCATCGTCCACAAGCAGGTTGACGAGCGACGTTCCGACGGCGCTACACCGCGAGAGATTGTCAGCTCTCCACCGATAGATTGTCAGCTCTCCACCGCTAGATTGTCAGCTCTCCACCGCGAGAGATTGTCAGCTCTCCACCGATAGATTGTCAGCTCTCCACTGATAGATTGTCAGCTCTCCACCGCTAGATTGTCAGCTCTCCACTGATAGATTGTCAGCTCTCCACCACGAGAGATTGTCAGCTCTCCACTGATAGATTGTCAGCTCTCCACTGATAGTTTGTCAGCTCTCCACCACGAGATTGTCAGCTCTCCACTGATAGATTGTCAGTTCTCTACTGATAGATTGTCAGCTCTCCACCGCTAGATTGTCAGCTCTCCACTGCTAGATTGTCAGCTCTCCACCGCTAGATTGTCAGTTCTCCACTGATAGATTGTCAGCTCTCCACTGATAGTTTGTCAGCTCTCCACTGCTAGATTGTCAGTTCTCTACTGCTAGATTGTCAGCTCTCCACCGCTAGATTGTCAGCTCTCCACTGATAGTTTGTCAGCTCTCCACTGCTAGATTGTCAGTTCTCTACTGCTAGATTGTCAGCTCTCCACCGCTAGATTGTCAGTTCTCTACTGCTAGATTGTCAGCTCTCCACCGCTAGATTGTCAGCTCTCCACCGATAGATTGTCAGCTCTCCACCGCTAGATTGTCAGCTCTCCACCGATAGATTGTCAGCTCTCCACCGCTAGATTATCAGCTCTCCACCGCTAGATTGTCAGCTCTCCAACGATAGATTATCAGCTCTCTACCGCTAGATTGTCAGCTCTCCACCGATAGATTGTCAGCTCTACCGCTAGATTGTCAGCTCTCCACCGATAGATTGTCAGCTCTCCACCGATAGATTGTCAGCTCTCCACCACTAGAGATTGTCAGCTCTCCACCGCGAGATTGTCAGCTCTCCACCGCTAGATTGTCAGCTCGTCACTGATAGATTGTCAGCTCTCCACCGATAGATTATCAGCTCTTCACCGATAGATTATATCAGCTCTCCACCGCTAGATTGTCAGCTCTCCACCGATAGATTGTCAGCTTTCCACCGCTAGATTGTCAGCTCTCCACCGCTAGATTGTCAGCTCTCCACCGCTAGATTGTCAGCTCGCCACCGATATATTTTATCAGCTCTCCACCGCTAGATTGTCAGCTCTCCACTGATAGATTGTCAGCTCTCTACCGCGAGTGTCACCTCTCTACCGCGAGAGTGTCAGCTCTCCACTGATAGATTGTCAGCTCTCCACTAATAGATTGTCAGCTCTCCACCGCTACATTTTCAGCTCTCCACTGATGGATTGCAAGATCTCCACTGCCAGATTATCAGCGGCTCGCAATCTGAAGGTTGCGAGTTAAAATCCTCGTTGGGGGGGGGGGGGTTGAGGGCTTTGAATCGACCCATCATTGCATCGACCTCCGGGGTCAATGTAACGTCTGAGTACCCCGTTGTGGGAAGGTCAACCGTGGTTTTCCTATAGATAGACTCGGTCCCGCCACATTACCGTGGAATTTCCACCACTGGCTTAGGGCTGTAAATAGATGAGCACCACCTCTGACTTATTGGCTCTTTGAGCATGAAGACACTTTCCTTTGGGTGACCCTCCCTAACACACTGAACATTATTTAGTTTAATTCAGAATGAGTTACAAGGCAGCAAGGAGGTTGCTTACTTATTTGTTCTGAGTTTTTTAATCAAGTTGTTGAAATCCAGTGCTGTTGATTCTTCACTGGTTTCCATGATTTTTACAGCTTTACGAGACACTCCACACCTTGATGGGTAATCACCAACTTCATCCTTGTTTCCGTTCATATGAGGCGATGATAGGGCACGTTTCTTAATTCACGTAATTCGTAGAGCACAAAGTGCCGTTTAACAGACATCGTCTCCAGTTGCTTCACAGTAGGGCTGCTGATATTTCTGTGTAATCCCAGTTAGATGTTTTTGCAGGGTCTTGTCATTTTCAAATTTTGGGCCAAGATGCCCCTATGCAAAATTTGGTCTCTTCAGACGCCGTCGCGAGGGGGGGGGGCATTTAAACGCCCACCCCCGAAGTGCGCGTCTCGCGCACTCTGCCATTAATACACCTACTTGCATCAATTTGCATAAAGCGGTTTTGAGATGCGGAGTGTATCGAAGCGCTGTATGAACGCAAAGGTTATTACCATCATTGTTATAATTATCAGATGACGCTGCCAAGCATGAAGAAGTCGGCAGTGGCGGCGGCGGAGGGAGGAGTGGCGCCAGAACCGGAGCTCCTGAACCAGCACTGGGTGGTGAACGACATGTACGCCTTCGAGAACGTCGGCTTCACGCACACGCTCGCCGGGGCCAACGTCAAGTACCTGGCATGCGCCGACTGCGAGGCCGGACCCATCGGCTGGCACTGCCTGGACGACCGCAGCAGCTACTACGTCGCGCTGGGGCGCGTCAAACACGGTTGACGACGCGACGCGCGGCTCGGAGGGGGGGGGGGGGGAAGATTGTAAACGGCCCGTCAGAGACTCTTGAGCTGAAAGTCTGCGGGGGTTTGAGTCTGATTAGCTTGCCACTTGCTGGTCCTCGGGGGGTTTATTGAATCGATGGCTTCAGCCCAGTAACGTACGACGGCACGGTCACCAGTGATTACATTTTGGCGGAGTGGCTCGGATGTCAGAGGTTAGAGGCTGAGCTGGCACCGCTGAGATCTCGGGTTCCAATCGGGGCAGCTGGCTGTGGTTAAACCACATTCTCAAGTGCAGTAAGTTGATGGTCTCTGCCCGTGCATGAGTGACTGCACGGGAAAAAAAAAGCCTAAATTGGTTCCGTACTCAATTTGACTACAATTCCTGAAGATTAAAGTTTCAGATTAACTCATGAAACAAACATTGCTCTTTGTAGCAGGGTGGGTGGGGAAAAGTGCTGACCAGAGGTCCACTTGCAGGGATCTTGGAAATAGTTCTGTGGTATCCGCTTCCACAGGCCTTTCTCCCAAAAAGGAGGGTGGCATTGCTTTGTATGAAATTCAAATGGATACTTTGTCTTGTGACGTTGTGCCGAGAGCACAAAAGGGATATATTGGCGTGGGGGGGGGAATAAAAAATGGGGTTTCACGTCATCATTCCTGAGCTGGAGGCTGAAAGTTAAGTTTTATTGTTGCATCATTGAAAAGGGCATACAAGAGCGCTCTTACTATATGTGGGAGGGAGACTGCAGTGACTGACACCTCATCCTCTGGGGCCATTTCCTGGCACGATGTGATGTTAAGACTACGTGCTGTGAGAGTTTCAGATGAAGTGTAACAACGTGACACATTACAAGAAGAACATGAATGTTCGTGATAATGTTTTAAATTTTTAATGATGCGCACGTGTGAGCATATCTGCGTCCAACACATTCATGCAAATTCATCTTCCACCCCCCTCGCCGCCAGTTAGAATCTGCGTCAGCTTTTATTTAACCGTGAAAAACACCCCTTTGGAGTTGACTATCCCTTGTTAAAGGGAATATTCGCCGACTCGTACATGAAGGGCAGTTATTTAACTTTTTCTTGGTTGTGTGCATTTCTGAAACGGAACATCTAAGACGCGTAGGATTGTGCGGCAGGTCTTCCAGTAACTCCAGTCGCTCCTCCCCATCTCGACGCACACTGCCGTGTTTACCAAATCGCGCTACACCTGCAGCGTGGAACGACCCTTGCATGCGCACGGTGCGAAAGAAGTTCGAACGTGTGCACGGGGAAAAGGTTGATGTATGTAGCAAAGTGCTCTTATCTACGTTCAAGCTTCAAGATGTCTTCTTTGGTTCTTTCCGTAAAGTCACGTAGAATGAGAATAAAATAATAAATAATGAAATCTAAATAAAATAACACCGCAAATGCGTTCTACCCTCAGTGGACACGCAATCTCAAAGATCTGCCCTGCTTGTCACCCACCATCTGCTCAGGTTTTCCCCTTGGTTAGATTAGTGGAGACTGGAATATCTTTATTTTACGTATGCATTGCCTACCCTGCATTCTGTTTAGGTTGGCGTGTGAGAACTGGAGTTTGGGTCATGTGGGGTTTTTTTATGGATTGGCAACTCCTCCAACGGCATGATTGTTGCCCGTGACACATTTTTCATCTGCCAGGTCAGTTGATTAATTAATTAAAGTGGGTACTATAAGGAAAACCCAGGCTGGGATGTTCATCGGAGTGTAATGGGGGAGTCCCTTTCCACTTTTTGGAGCGCACTAACAAAGCTGACTGCTGTTTTACATAATAAATGAAGCTTCTGCAGTATTCATTTAAAACAGTAGGGTATATATTAATGTTTTGTACTTTTTCGTTACCCACCGAGCAAACCACGGTATTACAGAAATCTGGTGTGTTTATGATAATGCTGTATATGAAGGACAGTTAAAACTGTTTTGAAAACAGAATCTTAAAGGTGTACACAGACCCAAAATCCCTTCCGTTATACAACTGGGTGATGCTGTGGGAGATTGGCATGGACATGGCCCATGTCACGCGGGCAGCGGCGGTCATTTGACCATACATCACGCTGGTTAATGCGTGGTGGGAGGGTGCATAGACGTTGGAGCATAGTACGGTACAACAATGAATATTGCTGCACTGTCCTCTGTTGACGTAGCCCTGCAAGCAGCCTATAACACCTGTTTGATCGTATGGTGGTCACCCATCAAGGCAAGAAGCCACCAACTTGACCGTGTCAGAGTGCAACGGTGAGTTAAGCGATGCTGAATAAAAACACAAATCTACGCCTTTGTGTTTGAGTAAATTGTTTCGATGTCGGTGCACGTTTATACGGCAAAGATATTTATTTATGATATCGGTGATGACTGCTGTACTTGTCGACGGACCCTACAAAATTGCTCACATTAATGGGAATATCGCAATACACATTTGCGTTGAACGGGCTGTCAAGCCGGGCGGTCCTCGACTTGCGAACACGAGTTCCTTACACCAGTTCGTAAGTTGGAACAATGCACTGTATTTAAATTCCCAATGTTATTGAAATGTGTTACGGTTCAACGACGAAGGGAAAGCATTGTTCAACACGTAAATAAGAAGAATGATTGTACATTTGCATGTAACACTGTAAAAAAAGACTACTCAAAAGAAAATAATTACTGTTGCTGGCGAGAGGTGTGGCCGCTGGTTTAGTGTTGGTGGTTGTGACGATGGTGGTGGTTGTTGTTGTGACGATGGTTGTTGTTGTGTTGACTGAGTGACCCAAGCTGGGGCAGTAACAATGAGGGCCCTTGGGTTTGGTACAGTCCACAGATTAAGAGCAATACGCAGGGGAGGCCTCCTGCAAGGACGCACGCCCGTGGCACTGCCAAGGTGGTTGCCTGTTGTGGTCAATCCACTGCTGGATGAGGGGCCCTCTTCCCCCACCGCGCCTTGCAGGCCGTGGGCGATGGTTGGCCGTGACCTGGGGGCTGGTCGGCCTCGTTGGGGTGGCGGGAATCGCCGCTGACCCTGTCGGCGTCTTTGGCCCACCCGGTCGCCCTGCCCGGCCTCAAGGCCCTCGCATGGCTCCTCGCGAGACGCCGCGGGGTCGGCCGTCGACCTCGGGGTCAATGCGCTGGTGCATCACAGGTGCTACAGGCTGCTGTCGGCACGACAGCGGCGAGGCGTTGTACTGTACTCGTGTGGGCCCCCCCCCCCCCTTCACCAACCCCGCCGCACTCGTGACCGGCGTGGTGAAGTATGGTCAAAACAAGAGTCTACATGCAGCGCGGGGCAAGAGGGGAGTGGTTGCACTGCGCGTGTCCATGTTACCGTCATTGATAACGATGGCTATGAGATGTTGACTACCTCGCCTGGTGTGCAGGAGGTCGTGGGTTCGATCCCGACCCTGACGCCTGCTGCTGTAGATTTGGAGTTTGCGGTGTCTCTCATCATCATCATCACGGTGGCTAGGAGGTGTTGACTACCTCGCCTGGTGTGCAGGAGGTCGTGGGTTCGTTCCCGACCCTGACGCCTACTGCTGCTGTAGATTTGGAGTTTGCGGTGTCTCATCATCATCATCACGGTGGCTAGGAGGTGTTGACTACCTCGCCTGGTGTGCAGAAGGTCGTGGGTTCGATCCTGACCCTGACGCCTGCTGCTGCTGTGTATTTGGAGTTTGCGGTGTCTCATCATCATCACGGTGGCTAGGAGATGTTGACTACCTCGCCTGGTGTACAGGAGGTCGTGGGTTCGATCCCGACCCTGACGCCTGCTGCTGTATATTTGGAGTTTGCGGTGTCTCTCTCTTTCTCTCTCCCTGTGGTCGCGTGGATTTCTCTCCGGGTCTCCCCTCCACATTAAGAATAAGCTTGCGTTTGGAGTTTGCGGCTGCCCTAAATCTCCACATTACAAGCCGACAATTCGTTGAGGCATCATTCGAGGCCAGGTCGCTCCTGAATCGTCTACAGTTCAGTGGGCTTTGCCCGGGCATAATAAAACATTTAGTTGAGCACTGTACACATTTCTGTACAGGGCACTGTACACACGTGTACTGTATCAACTACCGACCTTGGGAGCTGCTGCTATACAATTGATGTGTGGTGATTCTGGACTTGGTTACCCTTGTTAACACCATATAAGTGCACACAGAGCTTGATAACAATAATGTAACCTTCACGTATACCCATCACTAACGATATATATGGGATTTCATGTAGCATTGACTAATTATATGCGAATGCCAGACCCAAAAAGAACACTTATTGGTACCACCTGATGAGGCAAATTCCAGTAATTTTTGTAATCCTCCATGTGTGTGGGACATTATGAGTTGATAATATTTGCGGAGTGGCAGCTTAGTTGTCGTTACCATGCCCTTTATACCCACACCCTATGAACGATTAAATGGGCATTATTACTGAAAAACTACCTAGACCAAAGCCAGTTAGGTCACAAACTGGTCTTTACTGGTTTAAATACACAATGAAAACATAGGATAATCAAGAACACAATAGTGAGGTATGGAACTACTTTAATATTATAAACATTGACATTCGCATATACTTAGTCAATGATACATGTAATCCCATATATCGTTAGTGATGGGTATATATGAAGGTTACATTATTGTTATCAAGCTCTGTGTGCACTTATATGGTGTTAACAAGGGTGACCAAGTCCAGAATCACCACACTGTGCATCAATGTATACTACTACCACAGTAATACCATCAGAATCACCACCCTGTGTCACTCGTCAAACTGCTCATCTATCTCGTCATCTGACTCCCCGAGGTGAAAGTCAGGTTCTGGATCATCCTGCAGTTTTTGGTTACTGCAGGTCTGTAACCTACATATGTCTGTGCATTGCAGTCCATTTGACAGGCTCATGCAGCTTGGCATTCTGCATGAACGCACACACTTGCATGCTAGCAGTTCCAAGACCACATCTGGTGCGGGTGGGGAGCGCAGCCAGTAAATGGCCAGCTTGCCATCATCGTCTGTCCATCCATACTCAGCAGGGCTTGGCACCACAGGGTTAGCCTGCAGACAGCACTTCCAGATTGCTGCCTGATAGTTGGCTCGTTGAACATGCGTGAAGAGACGGTCTCTACATGGTGGCAGCTGGCCGGACTCGACTTCTCCCCTTTTGGTGCAGAAGAGCTGGTGTAGCTCAGTTCGTTCACCTCACCAGTGCTGCTGTTAGCAACGTTCATGCGACAGGTGAACTGCTCAATTTTCTGGAACAGCTCATCACTCACATTCCATAACTGCCCCAGTCGACTAAAAGTCCTTTGGCAGGAAGTGTCCTTTCTCACCATCTTCAGGGCATTCAGCTTCCCTCGACCGGCGAATGCACTGACAGTGTCGCAGCCTGCGAAGGCGTGCCAGCCAATTAGGCTGTCACAGATGCTGTCTCCAAGTGACCTTACCAGTTTGCTGATTTCGACAAACCGTACGAGGTTCTGTGTCCCACACTTCTGGTAGATAGGACAGGTAATGTCCTGGAAGCCAAGACAAGCACCATGACATCAGTGTCCTCAGCTGTGACGATAACTGCCTTTGAGCCCACATTTGCTGCATGCAGTGCATGCAGGAGCAGACGGGTGTCAGTTTCTTCATGCGTGGAGTGCAGCTCTGCTACTTCCTCACACTCATCTTCTGTCAACTTGTAGCAGGTTTCCTTACAGGTCAGGTACAACACCTTGCCACGCAGCATCTCTCTGTCTCGTAGGAGTTTCCACTCTTCCACCAGAAACTTGATGAGACTGGTCTTGTTGGAGGGACTGCACAGGGATTTTCTCCACTGCTGGACGTGGTGTCCCCCTGCAAGGTTCTTGTACTGGAGAGTGGTGTCTGCACCCCGGTTCAGTCGTTCAGCATCTTTTATCGAAGTCTGTCCGTAGACATAAAAAACAACATCAATCCTTTCACTCTGTGCCCCCTCGTGGAGGACCTGGGTCAAGGTTGACTCTGCCACCTGTGCCATTCATTTTTTTGAACCAGGCTCATCCCATCAATGATGGAAGTAGATGGGGTTGGGATGTCTTCTGCAGGAGACACATTCTTTTCAAGCTTTCTGGCAAGTGCAGTCTTGTTTGTTTTTCGTAGGGACCCATCAGCATTTGCCAGTGCCCATGGCAGTGGGCCCAGTGTGTGGGCAAGGGCATCCTTCATATTCACCTTCCTGCTTTCAGCCACCAGGATCATGTGGCTGAACAGGTTTCTATCTGCCTTCAGAACCACATCCTGTGCTTTCTTTACACGTGCTGTTTTTGTGTTGATATTGGAGAATGTCTTCAGACTTTGCTGGGTCATCTTATGGAATTTCACAGATGGTGGGTCATTCTTGGTTCTTTCGGTAAAGTCACGTAGAAGGGAAACAAAATAATAAATATATAAAACAATAAAATTCTCACGACGTTTTGACTGCAACACAAGTAATCATCATCAGGTGTGAAAACCACAACAATTTTTTTTTTATTTTATTGTTTCCCTTCTACGTGACTTTACCGAAATAACCAAGAATATGAATCCCTGCAGTCACGAAAGCTTTAAATCAAAAGATGGTGGGTCGTCAGCTGACCTTGTTTGCTTAAATACCTGGTAGGCCTCTTCTATCTCAAGAGCTCTCAAGAGATCCCTGGTCACATAAGGTGGCAGTGGAGAGGCTAACCAGATCTGTCTGATCAGGGGACATATGATTGATCCAGTTATTCTCCATATGGTCAATGAGAGACTGGACATTTGCTTAATCTCTCTTGATCCTTGGACCCTGTTGATCTGGATGGCACAGTTTGGACTTGCCTTGACTTATCAGGTCTCTCAGCTCTCTGAGGTACTTGCTTCTGTACTCAGCTGTTAGGTAATATTTGGTCACGGCTCCTGGATTCAAGCTGAATCTCTTTGTCCCTCCAGCTGTCTGGGTGTCATTGTTCATCGTTTCTTCTATAGCTTGGTCAACAGGGATTCAGCCAAAGGGATTGGCGGAGCCCAGTTGAACTGAGAAGCCTCCTTCCATGAATTCCATTTACACATCTGGGTGTGTGATGGACAGCTGAGACATCTGGGCGTAGTAGTGTATTCAGTCAGTCATATTCAGTCAGTTTTCACCTGCACAATACAGTACAATCAGAAATCATCATTACTTTGATGCAAAACCTGAATTCACCTGTCAGTACTTTGGTTACACATTGACGGCAGCAGAGAGTTACAACCCATAAGCAACACTAACATTGATAAAGGGTAAAATTTATCTTAACTAATCTTAACTACATTAAGGGGAGGTACTACAGGTGAATAGGCA